GTATCGGTGCATCCCTAGTTACAACATGTAGCATTTACTGTCCTCACATTTACATTTTTATTGTAGCCGAGCAACAGCTCTTCGGCTGTAGCGCAGCATTTACTTCACTGAAGGCAAATCACCTTCATCCCCTTCCTGCATAGTTGGGCCACATTGTGTAACTTGCTAATGATCCAAATGACTTTTATTCTGTAAATGACTGCACTGAGGGACAGATGTTGCTGCAGGCGCTTTAATTTGTCGGAGTCAAATTAGTATACAATGAATTTCATAAACCTTCAAGGCGCTTCACTCAATCAGAATAGCCTTATGTTTTCCAGATAAATTATGTACAGAAGGAAATCTAGGTCAGACTTGATCTGTGCAATAAAAGCCAAGCGTTTGACTCTCAACGGAGAAAATGTTTTGTCATCTCGTTTGTCATTGAAATATTTATTTGCATAACACTAAAGAAGTTCAGTAGGAACACAGTTTCCATTTCCATCTCATAAGCCGTATATTGGAATTTCAATAGTTGTCCTTTTGGGTTTGTTTATTCCTTTTTTCCTTTTTCTTCTGCATTACTTTTAATGAATATCTGAATGCTCTGCAGATGTCAGTGTGTTTATATTAAGTGAGCAAGTTGAACTGCTCACAGAAGGCGTTACTGTCAAAATAAATTTGTCTTCACCAATTATATGTATTATAGTTTTATCTCAATTATTAGCCTCAATAAAATTGTACACAACACAAGAGAGAAAATCCCTGTTCCTGTGTATTGTCTGGCAAAGCTCTATAGCCCTCAGAGGCTAACAGTGTGGATACATAGTAACCAGTTTTTGTTGGTAGTATTCTCAGTCTGGTTTCGAATCTGTATCCTGATGAAAAGTAAAATAAAATGCAGAGAAACCAAGAAATTTCCATAACTGCTGTTGGGGGCATATCCCAGTGTGTCTCATTTCATCTTGTTCTTTTGTTATTGGAAGATTTGAGTGGAGCTGTCTAACTTCAAAGTTCCAACTTATTCATGAAAGTGGAACAAAGACATGATGTTGGCGCCTGTCCAACTTATCAAGAGAGAGTTGGTGTCTTCTACCAACACATTTCACAGCAGGCTGCTGCATAATCGTCCTTCTGTTTAGCCAGGATGTGGATGCAACAGAAATGAGACACAAAGGAGATGAAAGCCAAAACAGTGACCATGATCTAAGCTTGTGTGCAAAGATGTTTCTCATTCATCCTTCAAGTTGGAGAGGTTGCGTAGTTGTTTGTCTTGGGCAGCGGGTGGGCTGCGTGAGGAATTACATCTCCCCTCACCCACACACTGTCTGTCCACAGCTGCGCTTAAAATGTGCCCCCATTAAAATAAACAGGAAGTATTTTTATACATTTGGTTGTGTGTTTGACTGCACAAGGTCATGAAGCTTAACCTAGAACACCTCATTTGAGCTTTACATTTAAATAAATGCATTCAGATGAGCCAAAATTGATGTTAAGGGTTACAGCTCATGGAAATGCATTTAAATTCCTCCTTATATTGAATAATCACTGAATACAAATTTACATAATGTACTGCTGTTTGTATGTGTGCACTTGGCCCTGAGTGATGATGCATTTCTAGAGTTGTGAATAAAGTGTTTTGCATATGTAAAACAATTTGTATACTTTAAGTTTCTGATGTTTGAAATGTAACATAATACACAGAGCTGAATGAAACACATGCTGTGAGCATCTAAATCTGTGAGAGTGACACACTCAAATTTAATAAATCAAAACAGTAGTGATCTATTCATCTTTGTAGCACCTTAGTATGCCTAATAATCTCTAATGAAAACAAGTTATGTTACCTGTTTATCACTTGGTTACATTATGTTAAATTGGATTTACTGTGCCCAGCTTGTTTACCCCTCTCTGTGTCCTGGAGTTATTGTTTCAGCAGCATTAAATTAGTAGTAGGATATCAAATGCATTGTTTGCTTGTCAAACACTCCAGATTCATTTCCTCAAGTGAGAAATTAAACCCATTTTATCTCCAGACCCTCTCTGCCCCGACTTTATGCCAAGAATAGCTAAAAAAATCTTACATTAAGGGGAAAGTGGTCTTTCTGCTCCCATAAGTCTTGTAAGTGTGGAAAAAATGTTCTCCACAGTGACATCAAGGGAAATTAAGGGCTATTCAAACCATACTCAGGTTGTCCATAATTCACCTCATCGCCTCTCTCTCTCTGCAACAGCGTGGACCTGGTGCATGCTCAGCTGCATGTGTGCGAGGGCCGCAGCCTGCCAGAACTCGGCCTCAAACAAGAAAAGATCAGGGTGAATGGCTGCGCAATCCAGTGTAGAGTGACAACCGAGGACCCATCCAGAGGCTTCCAGCCAGACACGGGAAGGATTGAGGTAGGCTTTATCTACAAGTGCCCTCATTGTGTCAATTGCTGGTGTAGTGAAGCTATTTGTCTACTAAGAAACCTAATGAAGATGGCAAAGGCCAAAAGAGGCCAGCTGATTTTACAAAATCAAAAAGCTTTTTTGTGGCGGTTCAGATGGTGTGAACAAGACTGCAAGAGTTAAAAGGTTTCTTTTTGGCGAAAATTGCAGGAATAATAATATTATTTAAAATTTCATGTGTACATTTTCCACCAGTATCCTGGGATCTCTAAATTCACTAAATCTGCCAGAGGAGTTGAGTGCACTCTATCAAAAGCCACTGTTTGCGGCATATCAAATTATTTTAACCTTGTTAGTTTATACTCAAACAATAAGAGCCTTGGAGCCGACCATGCGTGCACCTGCATCGTGATCTTGATTTCTGAAAATAGAGCCAGTGATTCCAAACGAGAACTATTCCCACAGTGATATGATATAATTTTCCTGTTTTAATGAGAGCAGAGTATTCACATCCAGCACGGCCTGGGTGAGGCTGCTGCTACTGACAGGAACTAGAGATGTGAAAGCTTTCACTGATGGGTGCATTTAAACTGTTAGACTGAGTGGGTTCATCATTGTCTGAAGGTGGGGGTGTTGAAAACATTTCTTTTGGTTTACAAGTACTCTGTTCCACATTTTGATTAAAAAGAAATAGATTACCAATGACTTACTGGTCTTACCAATTAATTCTGTTAAAAAGGGGTGAACTAGAAGTTGTTTTGCATATAGATTTAAATTTAATTTGTCATTTCATTTGGCTCCAAGGGGTTTTAGTTTATTAGCGGGATACGTGGCTCAATAATCAGACTTAATTTAGCCTGGAAATATCAGCGCATTAAAGGAGCCATCTCAGAATTTTCTTAATTTTAAGTTGTATTATAGTAAGCAGCATATATTCCAGGATCACCTTTAAATTGGCCTTGCAGGACCAAACATCGAATGTGTTTTTAAATACCATCCTCATTAGATGGCATTCTCACCTTCATTACTATTCACCGTGAAAATTATGTGAGAAGAGTGGCCATGAAGGGGCTTGTGACCTTTCCATTTCAAGGACTTTCCACCTTGTTTCTACTCCATATTTTTCCTCTTCAGCTTCCCCCTGCAATTCTCAGAAACCTCCCTCCAACCTACCACTCAGCTTAACAATAATGTACATATTTCACACACCCAGATTCCTTCTTCATCCTTTTATTAATTTCCTTCTCCATCGGGTTTATTTTGGTCTCTTTTCCCGTCATCCTGCACCATTTACCTGTGATTTTGAATGAGGAAACATGATGGACAATAGAGGGATGCCTCACCACCACCATGCAATGTGAATGAAATAAACACAATCAATAAAGATGGAGGAATGGGACACGAGGCACTTAATAAATTATTGCTGGACAGCCGTGACTGGTCGGAGGCGGAGCAACACAGTAAAAGGTGAAGGGCACGAGGATTAAAAGTTATAGGTTGTAATTCACTTGAGGTGTCCGAGGAAAGTCGAGTAATTGGCTTTGAGAAATAATGACACTGAAACTTCTGTGCAGGGTTGGAGCAGATACAGATAACCCTTCGAACACGATGCTCCAAATATTTGAAACCCACGTGGTTGTAGCACAGAGGGTGATGGATTTTCAGCAGTGCTGTGTGTCAGTGGGAAAGGACTGGAGCCACACACTACTTCCATAAAGCACCAAAATAAACTGTCCTTTACTTGGATTAGAAAAAACAACTTCACGTTAGAACAGCATAAAAATATCTGAAAAAATAAAGGTGCGATATTTAATGTTGGAGGTAAAGAGGGAACAGCACCACATCAGAGGCTATTTTTATATCTCATCTGTATGTGAAGAGCAAAGTGATGCAAAACAAAGGTAAATACTTGGCTCACATTTGCGGTGCTGTTCCTTAGCTTTCTGGGGCTGTTCACTGTGCGCGTGTGCGCTAAAGCAAACAAAACAGGGAGGAAAAATTGAACTTTGATAATAATAGATAGCAAGATTTGAACCTGAACTTCAATATCAATAGGCAATGTTTTATTTATTATAGGAATGAAGTCATTACTGAGTGTTTCTGGGGCTTCTAGTAACTTTTCTCACCAGTATGGTGCCATACTTGCACCAACACATTCACCCCCAGGCAAGTTTCTGCCCTGAATAGATTTAATAGATGTGTTGCCAGGGAATAATGGATATGTTATATAATGTTAAAACAAATCACACCCAGAGCTACCACAGCTGCATTTTCATTGCAAAAAGTTAAATTATATTGGTACATTTTTTAATAACAGTTCAGTAAATTATGCCTTTTTAGACTTTTTGGAAAACAACAAAGAAGTTAAATTTGCTTAAAAACAACAGATTTTCAGTAAATCTTTACAATTTAACCAGCTTCATGCAACGCTAAAGATTAGAAAGCAAGTTTAGTGTTTAATTTGCACAGCGTGGATATACCACAGAAGTCTGCACACACTGAGTGATATTAAAATCTCACAAGTTTGACTTGTATATTTCATGTCAGCTCTTAAATAGGAATTTCCCCGAGGTGTTGACTACCTGCAATATATACAGTTTCCCTAAACTACTGTTTTCTCTTCTTCTCTCGGTTCATATTCTCCATAAGATGCTTTGCTTATGCACCATTAAAACATTGGAGGAAGCAGAATGAAAAATATGCTAATGCCTTAGCTTTAGGGGAGCGTAGCCTGGAGCAAGTAAAATGGTGTTTAGGCATAGGAGGCACATAGGAGAGGTTCATAGAGGGAGAAATAAAGTAAGGTGTGAGCGAGGGATGAGTGATGGATGCCGTAGTGCAAGCACGGCAGCAGCCCCGTCGACAGAATGACTGGGAGGAATGGACTGCCTGCTTTGGAAGGCGAAGGGGGGAAGAGTATTAAAGCAGCACCTTGACATTTTGTATTTTAATCCATTATTCTTCAGACGCTCTTCACATTCGGTGTGTTTGCGAGTCTTTTGGCACGTAAACGCTGCGATCAGTTTAGCCTTGTGAGATATGAAGGTGATTCTAAGAAGCACAAGTGGAAAAACCTTTACTCCCATAGTGTGATAAGTGGATGATGAAAGACTATTTGCTGAACCCTGAAATCACGTTACGGCAGTAAAATAAAGATGGTGGAAATATGGTTTTGTTGTTCACAGCGGGGGAAACGGTGGGGGTGAGTTTGAGCTTGCTTCATAGTATGCTGAGGTATTGAAGCGAATGATTAACATGTGATCGAAGGGAGCAGCGATCACCCTTTCATCTCGTTTATCTGCTGATCCATCTTCAGAGTTTGCTCCATTGTGCTCGTGTCTTCCTTTCCTCTTAACTCTGTCCTCCTCTCTCCTTGTCAACGGTGTCCTTTTCTCCCAGTTTCCCATTGTTTCCACATTTGCTCTCAATCCATTACGTCCAACTATCAATCTTCCCTCATCCTTTCACCTTAAACATCCCTTAACCTTTAACATTACCAACAATCTCTTCCATTCCTTTTCTCACATTTGTCTTTCCCAGCTTCGTCTCTGCAAAAAGGTATCAAGTAACAAGGCTAAGTCCTGCTGTTCTCCTCTCCTCCCACTGTTCATTTTATTCAACCTCCTCCTGTTACTCAGAAACTCATTTTACATCTTCCTTTTCCTCTCACTCACTCTGCCTTCTCTCTGTCCTTCCTTCCTCCCTTCCTGCTGTCATGTCCTGCTCGGCGTACTAAACCAGGGGAACAGAAAACCCTTACTGGAGCAATACCAGACTACTTCATCTTCTCCTTCTTCATTCATTGTCCCATTAGTCATAATGTGACGATCAGATGAGGATTTATCTGTCCTCCCATACATCACTTGTCTTTTCTCCTCGACGTGTCAACCAGCATTACTCACATCTGTGTCTCCACTTCCACCCCCAACAGCATCCTTCTCTTGTTTGTTTCTTTTAATGGAACACATTTGCATGCGTCACTCAGCGTATTTGATGTGTTTAAAAATGCTTGTGCACGGGTCTACAGGCCTGTGTGTGCCGGTATGTGTACCTCGTTCATCCGAGGAGCAGTCTTGAGTTTGAAAACAGGTGGAGTCCTAATTAGAGGAAGTGTATTTGTCTTGCCTATCATCATAAAAACACCTTCAGCTGCACACCATAAACAGACCGTCTCGATCTCATTGGCAGTTTCATCACTATTATCTTTCATTTTCTTCCCTGCCATTAACAGAGCCGCCAGTCACTGGTGTAATCAACTGGTGACTGAACTTGGTCTGTTATAAGTTTGAACTCCTGCTTAAAAGTTTTGACTGTTGATCGATTTCCTATGTGCTGCTTTTGTTTGTTTTTGTGATTTAGGGTTTTAAAAAAGTGGTTAACATAAGAGGACTTTTGACAGTATGTTTTCAAAACTGTGGTCCTGCATTACACTGTGAAAGGGGCTCAGAGTTGGCTCTTTAAAAATGCAGGTATCTCATTGGGTCATCTCATGATGCCTGCTGACCATTACCTGCAGTACTGTGAAAGTCTTGGAAAAATGGATGCAGTGAGTTTATTTGAGCATGTAGAAACACAAACGAATATAAGGCAAAAACGGTGTGGGTGTAATTCAAAGTCAATATTTGGTATGACCACCTGTATTCAGGAATGGCTCTACATGCTTGTTGGACATTCAGAGCTCCCCTTTCGATGCTGGGTGCCCTTTTGTTCTGTTCTGTCAGATAATCCCACACTCATTCAATAAAGCTGACATTTTAAAATTTCCGCACTTCATCAGACCTGTTGCCACTGATTTTCAGTCCAGTTCTTGTGTAATTTGGCCCCCTCAGCCTTTTCTCCCCGTTTCCGTGCCTCAAGAATGGCTTCCCGACAGCCACACGTCCACTGAGACAGTTTCTGATGAGGCTTTAGTGAACAGTAGCTGGATCAACTGAAGGGCCAAATGCCTCTCCAGGTCCTGTGTCAAGTCTTTATTGGATTTTTTTCCCCCCTTGTTTCTTATGAAACTG